ATTTTGTGATCGCTTAGGATATTGTTTAACTGTTAATGTTAAAAAATCTTCCTTTTTAGCAATGTTTTGATTTTAATATTATTTTTAATAAAAGACTTGATGATCAAATTTATAGTCGTTTCTTGAAGATTTCTTGTTTCTTAAACCGTCCTTTAAATTAAATTTATTATTCGCTGATGTTTGTAGTATTGACTTCTCATGTTTAATTCAATATTCAAATTTCTTCAAACTCGACACATGAGTTAATTATACCGACCCCATTAAAAGTTATATTACAACTTTGCTATAAAACATACATGAGAGCCAATATTTGGGCACCTAAATATAAATGTGCATGAGATTTCCTATATTCCTATATCCCTGTCAAATTATAATAATATAATATGTATTAATGAAATTACTAGTCTCTGTAAAAAAAATTTTTTTAACAAATTTGAAATTTAGAGATGTTCTATAAATAAGGAAGGAAGCATTTACGCTTTTATTAAAATTATTCTGTATGTTTTCCTATTTTTGTATTTTATGGGTAAATCCATGTCGGAAGTGTTTTTGATTTTTTTAAACAAGCTATCATTCCTAATTTCAAAAGTTCAATTATTTTTTTCAATTTTCCGTGTACTTCCGTTAAAAGCGAAGGTTTTTTTTCATTTATCACATGGACTTGTATAAAAAGTAGTCTGTTAATTTTTTTGTTAAAATATATTTCTTGTTATTTAGATTGACTGGAAAAAATGGCATAATTTTTGAACTACATTTTCTCCAAAATTTTTAGAGCAGTCGAAAAAAGATAAATAGGTGCAAATTAAATTTTTCCGTAGAATACAAAAATGGAAAAATATATATAAAAATTGAAAGCAAAAATGTTGATCTCACATCCGGTTTTGCCAAACATTTCCGACTTGAATTTACTTGCAGAATACAAAAATAGAAAAACATAGAATAATTCCGATAAAACCGGAGATGCTATTATTCAAATGTCTTATCTGCCAATATGTAGCCATCCTTTATTTATACAAGCATGTCTAAATTTCAAATTTATTCATTTTTTTTTAACAGAGGCTTGGCTAGTTATTTCATTGACACGTATTACATTATTATAATTTGATAGATATATTATCCAAAAAGGTAGTAAAGCACGAAGAAAATTTTTTTTTACTTTGAATTTAAATATCATTTGTTCTATTGAAAAATATGAAAAAAAAAAGAATTTGCTATTATTTAAATATTTCTTTGCTTTGCTTGTAGTTTATGCCTTGAGGTATGAAAGTGACAAGCTTTACATTGGACAGACATCTCAAAAACTGAAAAAAAGGATTACAGCTTTTAAGCGTGACATCAAACATAATCCCATTTGTGCAAGCTTTAGCTCATATATTAACCATATGACCATAATGTTTGTTAGGGCGATCGGATTATATTGGACGTTGAACAAAACTTGTTAAAGAAGGAGGTTTTTGGGGATGTGCTTTCATTAACCACCGCCAAAACTGTGTCAAATCATAAAGGTTGTTAAGGGTTTGAGTCTGATCTATACTTACTTGCTAAATCAAAGTGTTACAAAAATAATAAATACCCCGAAAATTATGTTCACCGAACTTTATAGTGTCTCTCTTTCCGTATATCGATGTTCTGATTGGCAACTTTGCTCTTTTCTTAAAATATCATGTTTGGTTTTTATTCTATGGCAGTGCATTACACTGCATATTTTGTGATTAAGACCTCTTAAATAACCTTTTCATTAATTTTTGTTAGTTGAATGTTTTTGGCTGTATATATTACGCTCATTCTCTGATGCATAGCATGTTTGAATAACTATGTCCAAACCAAGAGGTGTCTGTTGAACTTACGCTATGTTAAATTTATGACCGGCATGTGTCCGTTTAATATAACTAATAATATTTGATATTCTTAAGTTTCATATTGCATGTTTACTATCTCCTTAGCCACTTGTTGTGACCACAATGTGCATTAGTATAAAAAATCCATGTGAAGTGCCCCCTCACTGTTTAGAGGATATTTTGGCACATTATTGTGAGTCCTATTCAATTTTGTTTTTGTTAAGGACTGGTTTAACATAATAACACTTTTAGTGTCCTGATAACGCCTATGTTTTTGTTAAGGACTGGTTTAACATAATAACACTTTTAGTGTCCTGATAACGCCTACATTCATGGGCGAAAGCTCCACAATAAAAGGCAAAGGAACTGAGCGTTACCGCCTTTATTTGCTTCCTCTTCATACATACGTTTTTGGGAAATCTATATAGTAAAATACGTCTAAACAAGTTATTCGGAGCTTGACATTAAATGTTACTGGTCAAATTGGAAGTCCTCAATTTTAATTGTATATACAAATCGAGAAAAACTTTTTTCTCAATCGGTAGTCGCATAAATTTATGACCCTGGATCTAGCCACATCGCGAAAACTGACCAATTAATTATTAACCAATTGGTTGATTTTGGTATGTTGCTTAAGTGCGCGGGAGAATCTGGTCCTCGGATGCACAATAACATTATGATCGTGGAAACAGATCCTTGATTTGTCCGTTTTCGCCCTGTGGTTAGATCAAATGTCATAATTTTTTAATGCCAACCGGCGTGCAAAATTGTAATTTTATGTTTATTCGTTGAATCGCTTCAACTTTTTTAAAATTGTTCTGTCAAAAGACATTAGATTTCATTAATAGGTACGTGGTTCGTACATAGTTTAACGATAGTCTCGAGAGGCTTGTTCTTTTAGTTTGGTTGATCCCTTACACTTATTTAACAACCCGATTTTTTACAGTTTTGTTTTCACGTTTAGTGTAAAATCAGTTACCCAAATCATTTTTGTACCGAGAATTTTAATTATGCGACGTCGCATTGTGTGCAAATTTGATTTCATTTGAAGAACATATGAAAGTAAATGAAATAATGATGAAATAGTTTTACACGAGCAAGATGGTAAGATATACCTGCGTCGCTTATTTATAAATAAAACTTGCTGACGTTTGGCCGAAGACGAAGAAATGTTAAATGAGGGATCCACCACAAAAACTTGAAATTTTGCTTTAAACCTATTCTATATAGAGTGCTATTTACAAATCTTCTGGATTCCTCTTGCGTCGGTTGTTTATAAACCAAACTTACTAAAGGTTAACCAATCATCAGTTTCAGTTAAGCTCTAAAACTATTTACAAATCTTATGGTTTCTTCCTGCCTCGCTTGTTTATAATAAATAAAACTTGCTGACGTTTGGCCAATCATACTGTTGGTATATATATATATATATATATATATATATATATATATATATATATATATATATATATATATATATACCAGAAGATTTGTAAATAGTTTTAATATAGCAGCCCGTGGAAGTTTCTTTGACAAATTCTATACAAAGGGGGGTAAGCAAGTAAGTTTTAGATTCCAGATGCTCGTTTAAAATATAAAATTGTCGACGTTGTCGTTTATAAAATTTCGATAAATTTGATTTGATAGACGTCACCTTTTACCTTAGCCGGTGGCTGTAATAAATTATAATAATAAAATAATAATAATAATAAAATTAACCAATATTTTTTTGGAAACAATAATTGGTCGCATGCATAGGAATTTATGTGTGCTGTGCGGATTTAGCGCCCGATGTAGGTCCTGTATATTTAAAACAAGCAACCTTTTTCTAATTCGTATTCAGATTATAGCTATCTAGTATCGACTGTCAAATTACGAAGTTCCCGGTTTGAATACCACAAATGGTCGAATGTTCAAATTCTCGAAAATCCCGAACGGCGTTCAGTCCCGTTTTGAAAAGTCTCGGTGAGTCTCGTCTCGCGAGGGATCTCGATGTAGCAGAAAATCAAATGGTATACTTTGTAATTTGACAGTCGATACTAGATAGGTATAATCCGAATACGAATTAGGAAAAGGGTGCTTGTTTTAAAGATACAGGACATAAATCGGGTGCTAAATCCGCACAGGACACATGAATTGCTATGCATACGATCGATTATTGTTTCCAAAAAAATAGAGGTTAATTTTATCGAAGGGTGCCGCAACCTGCATTGAAAAGAATATTTTTTATTAACCCGTGAGTATATTTTGAATATTTTGTTGTCATTATCGCCCCCTATTTATTACAGCCACTGGCTAATGTAAAATTTAACGTCTTTCAAATCAAATTTATGAATGACCAAGACCAAAACAAAATTCGTCTTTTTAGCAAAATGGTGATGGGAATAAAACTGATTATAAGCTGACAGAATTCACTGTGCAATTTGTCCTAGCCAGTTGCGAGTGAGCCTTGGGGTAACATTCATTTATGGGCCCCCCGACTTTTCGAATAAGATGTAAAATGTACTTTTGGTGATACAAAAATCTACAGCATCATGGACCTGGCTTCTGGACTCACAGTCCCAGAGCGGCCCAGAAATTTCCCTAATGGCCCCACCAAATGTTGTATTGGTGTAGCAGAAAATATTTGTACTGATTGTTCTCTTTTATGGTGTAAAACTGTTCAACTGGTTGAAATGAAACAAAAATTTTAAGCACAAGCATTTTCATAATTATTCCCAAAACATAGTATTTTTTTTTTTTCATCCACATTTCCTTGTATTTGACGTACAGTCCACAGTGCCTTGTCCAAGTAAAAACCTATAATAATAACATTCTTTATTTTTATGACAAAGGTAACCTCTACCTTTATACACCTTATTAGGAGTTACCAGTATTTTTTTTAATAAACGTCAAATATATTTATTTAAGACTTCAAGAATTATCAAGAAACTTCATATACCTACTGCATAGAGGTACATATTGAGTTGAAGTTGTTACGTTAACATAATTGAAAATTATTAATACGTATATAGTTTCAGTCGTACACATTTCTACAAATATTTTTATTACTAATAATTTCGTTACCTTGTCGGAAGTCTATTGAATATATTCTTTTGGTATCCTTTCTTCCACATGTTTGCAACTCCTGTCTTGTATCTGATCATGATTATGTTGTCTCTTCCTTGAGATGAATACACCATTTTCTTCAACCTTTCCTGATGCTTGATATTTGGTTTCTGTGCATCTTAGATATCTATGTGCAATAACTTGAATATACATATATTCATTAACCCCATAAAGGGTTGACTAATGTTATAACATACGACGTTTTAGCACTAAACATTCAAAATGCCTTTGTTGTGAGCTACTATAAAATATTAAATCAATTTTATCTTGTTCCGTTATACCTTCTGCATGAATAATACATAAAGTCGTCGTGAAAAACTATTTGTTAAGGGGTTATGTTCCTGTTCTGCATTACCCTATGAATTTACTACCCACATTTAAGTGAATTCCTGTTTAAAAAAAGTAATAAAATGTTAACTTAGTAAGATAAATCATTTTAAATAAATTTCAAACTTGATATCCCTATCTGACCTAAACATTCTGTCACTCGATCACGTTACGTCACGTCTCAGCTGTTGGCGGATCGGCTGTTACAAACCACCCCTCCGCCCGAACCCCAACGCCGTTCGGGATTTTCGGCCATGTGAACCCGGGCGGTAATATCCCGCAAATGTCCGAAGTGGTTCGGATCCATGGGAAACAAAACTGACGTGGCAAAATAACACTGATACAAAGTGGCAGTTTCTATGAACATCAACTCGATTAGACTCTAATTCGGCTGGCTTCTGCCACAATTTTTTGAATTATTTCATTACTGTATGTCGATGAGACGTTAGTTTGGTTAGTTTTGCATTAGAGCAGGGGAAAGGTTTGAGCCCTTGGAACTTACTTGTGTAAACTGTATGACCCTAAGGCTGGAAGACCTCTGGATTAGAGTATTGTAAATCTTAAGAATAGCCGGTGTCTGCTCCTTGACAAACCTGCAAATTTTCAGAGAAAAACGAATTAAGCTCGTTCTGTATGAAAATGTCATCCGCATGGAAGGTGCTTCAATTTTACGATATTTTGAGTCCCTTTAATGTCTAAATAGCTGCATAGGTGTAGATAAAATCTTGGAATTTGAGATGGTAGCTGATAATGTGTATGTACGAAGTATTGCACAGTTTATTAAAATACGCCATTTTTCTAGTGAGTCGACTGCATTGTGAGAGCGAGTCCTTCAAAATGGATTTAATCTTGGATATCAATTCCTGGTTGTACCCTATGGAATTAGGTAAGTTATGCATAGTCAAAAATAAGTGTATTTTTATATTAGAATTTAGCAAGCAGCAAATTGAAAATTATGCGCATTGTCAGCAACGGGAAGGAAATTGCAAAACAAAAAAAGCTTATTGAAGTGTAGAAACTCATTAATTGATGATGGATTTCTTATTCTTTAGTATACAGTTGTTCAATGCAATATATTTAGCAAAGAATAACAAGAATAATTATTAATTCAATTAAATAATTTCTGTATTGGGAAAAATGGATTTTCTTCTAAATGTTAGCTCACCGGGACCTATATAAATAGCGAATTATTTTTCCTGGCATAAATGCTTGCAACTTAATAAAAATTTCCAAGTGGCAACTCACACGTGTAACTTAATGAACGTTATCTGAAAGATCTTTTATACTATAGTAGAAAATTTGATTTGATTTTTATATGGTCTTTCACTTCGTGTGGTAAGGTAAAAAAGTTATAAAATATTTAGTACTTGTCTCGTATCAGTGCTTTTTAAAGTTATGCAAATTGAACTGAATGTTGTTATCCCCTATTGTTTTTCCTGCATTTTCATCTATAATTACATTATACACACCGAAAACTTGATATGCCAATGAGAATTTCGATTCAGAATATTTAACGCAAAAAAACTGCATCAGAAGAATTGGCAGTGGGATAAGTTCAAAAATAAACTTGTAAAAAAGTAAAATGGAAGAATAAAAATGTTGAAGGAATAGGTTATCGATAGGCAAGTTTTTTCTTAATTTGTGCTTTCCGTTTCCGTTATTCAAATTTTCAAAGTCTAGTTTGAAACATCACATATGTATCTAAAGTGTAAGATTCCAAAGTATAGCCTATTATTCTTTATTCAACGTAACATTTTTCACAAGTTGTTGTATGTTGAATTTTTTTACTTTTTAATATTTAGCGAAGTTATGATCAGTCTGCTGATGACGATAACGTGAGAATTCTGAAAAGACCTGTTTTTCTTCACAATAAAGCATTATTAAATCTGTGTTATTAGATCAACAATACAATAGTTGATTGTGAAAATCTGGTCTGAAGTGGTAATTTCAAAATTCCTTCATAACTTAACTCCATTTACTTTAGAGTAATAAAAGTAGGTACAGATAAGTTTTAAGCAAGAATCTGTCATCAGCTTTCTCTTAATATAAAACTCTAATAATACTTTTTAGAATACCTTGAATCTAAGATTTAGAGGTCGCTTGTTTCTTCACAAAGTTCTTGAAGAACTTACAAAGCTTAACACTGGGACCTAGCTTTGTCAATTTTTTTGATAATATATATTGTTTATAGGTTATGTTTCACTATTTTGTTTTGGAACAGTGCTGATTCATAATAGTCCTTATTTAGTTAAAATGTTTAAGTACCGGTTCTACAAGAAAATAAAAATTATAAAAGAATTTCAGTGAGAGTTTTTGCCTTTCTGAAAGATATCTTAAGCTGGAATTTCTCACATGACAGTGCAAATTCATGTACAGGTCTTTTAATATTTCGTTCATCACAAGGTTGAACATGAATGGACCGGAATCAAGTTTTCCCCCTCCTTTTTCCCCTCTTTGCGAAATTCCTAGTGAATTAGGCCCGCTGGTATGCCATGGGTTTGTAGAATTTTCAGGCTATGCTTCAACCGGATGTTATCGCAAGCATTTTCAATGTCAATAAAAAACCCTGTTTTATTATACTCCAAGGCCTTCTCAACAAATATAGCAGTGCAGGATCGGCTACGCCTAGAGTTCGGTTGCTCATCTTCAAAATTTATTATCTTAGTGAGTTTTAGATTGAGTATTGAGTATGTTGCTATCTCGGTAGTTTTTTGGGTTTACTCTTCACCCTTTAGAAAAACAAGTTCTATTTCATGAATAAATTCATGAACAACTTCGTGAATTTGTTCGACGAGTATTTGGTATCAAAGTAAATCAACTTCGTGAATTAATTCGTCAAGAAATTGTCAATGTAAAGCTAATATTAGGTCTGTTCTTTGGAGAAAAAAGTGTCTTTATTATTATTTCGTGTTACTGCAAATACATTTACTTATTATTATTCTCTTTTGTTTGCTGGCCGGAACTTTTGGTAGGATACTATTTAACGTGATTCACCGCGCGCATACATATGTCGCCGGCCGTAAATCACTCAGTTTAAATCGTCTTCATTCTGAGCTCTTTGTAGGGTGCGGTGCGGCCAGAAGTCGGGAATTAATCCCAGCACCGTCGCCGGTTGTGTAACAGCCGCGGCGAATTTAACCTCTCATATCGACCGGCCGCTGCCGTTTACGCTGTCCAAGTTCAATGCCAAGGTTGGGTCGCGGCAACAAATCGAAACGCGCAAACGCGACAAGCCGCAATGCGACCCACATATCGGCTTGCCGGCTCTGCCGCACCGCGTTGCTTCGGGAGGCCCACCGTCACGTAGCAAAATTTCATTTGCTTAAGGATGGGCAATTTTTTCGCGTAGAATCCATCAAACAATCCATTTTTCGCTCAACGGATGCACCAGCGAAATCAATAACCAATCTTTAACCTTCGTGTTATAATAACAATAATACCGCTTTATTTTCAACAGGTATATAACCAATTTCAGAAAATAAATGAAATAAATTAAAAATAATAACGGACAGCGCAATAATTAAATCTTATTATATCTGCCCTAAAGCGAAAGGTGTTGATGGTAATAATAATTAATAACAGCAAAAGAGGTGAGAACAAGAGTAAACGGAAATTGCTTTAACTATTCTTCAGTGTGGAAAGGAAATTTCTTCTTCTATAAGAGATAGACGAATTAATGTCGGTGTCGGAGCTCATTTCCTATAAAATGCTTAATTGGTATCTAGTACCACTTCGAAGTGGTTTTGTTGTGGAATTTTTTGTATTTCTAGCAAAACATTTCCAAAGTTACTTTTCGCACAGAATTTAATGACTTAAGTTTTTATATATCTAAAACTAATGTACTTTCTTAGCGATCAAACTGAATAATGATTATAGAAAACAACTGTAGATTACATTTCCAAAAATATAGCATACTTTACATTTCGTTTAGTTTTGGTTAGTTGTATTCAAAAATTTTTACAAAATTGAACCGGCAAGCTTTGGACCGAGCAGCCATAATACCGGAAACAAATGTACCCTGGTAGTTATCAAATTGAAGGGAATTTGGTTAGTCGAGTTTTGATTTATTCTATTGGCTATTATAGTTTGTTTTATGACAGCGAAAAAGATTGCAGAAACAGCAAACAATTTGTACTGCAACCAATATCCTTAAAAATATTTTGGGAAGATTACGACATAATTCAATTAATGGTAGTCTAAGAAGTTCCTCAATGCGGTTTACATCTACAAAGTGTTGAAGCAAATTCATTCGGATACTGTATATCTAGCAAAGCCACGTCGATTACGAATTCGTTCGTGAACGATATTCCTGAAAGGATTGCCGCGCAAGCTTCTCGTTGACTCACTTTAATAAGCGATCTACTATTACTAGCAGATAGATTTAAAGAAACTGCCAAAAAAATAGACATCGACTCGATTTGAGTTACAAGAAACAAGTGATTTCAGAAGCCGTTAAAAATAATTCCACGTAAACTTCAAAATTAAAGACCCCAACGAGACTAGCCAGAAAGAACTAAACTGGACTTTAAAAAAAAAACATGCTAAACCGGACCAGAAAGTGTATGGTGCAAATGGTCCCTAGAAGAACGTAAAACATTAAACGTTAAACCCATTGGTTTTCTGTGTTATGGTTGCACCGCCAAAGTTCAAACATTGTCTATTCTTTTCAAAAAACTCGACCAAAATGTCAAGTACATATGTTAATGTCACACAAGTCAGCAAATTGATTAAGGTTTCGTTACATTTTATATGTTGTTGATCTAACTATCACATTGACCCTACCCTTGAAATTATAAAAAAACATCAGTACTACGTGAGTTATAGCGTGGAATTTAAACAACAGATGAACAAGTCCGTCTAAGTCTAAGAGAGTCCATATCAAATAGTTGGAGTAACAAATGTTGATCAAATTCTCATTCATCAATCACATTCATTAATTTGAAAAACACGAGGAAAACCATCACTCTTCTCAGCTACCAAACACTGTAATAAATGTATCATCGCATCAACTTTCGGAAACGGAAAAATTAGTTCTTTCAAAAGGTTCCAACTTCGTCCTTGCCCCACGTATCATGCCAAAAAAGGAAATCATTTCCAATGTCGAGTCTATTTTAAATAAACTGCCATCTCAAACAGCTAATGAAATTAGATTTGAAACCGCAAAAATCCTTAAAAAATCAAAATCTCCTAAATCCAATATTGCAAAGCCTGAACGCATCGTCCTAAAATCTCTAAAATCCAAGCCAGACATCGTAATCCTAAAAGCAGATCAAGGAAATGCTACGGTAGTCATTGTCACAAATGAATATCAGGAAAAGATTCAAGATATTCTTATAGACAGATCCTATCTTCAACTTAAAAAAGATCCTACGTCATCTATGGATCGCAACCTTAAATGTGTTATTAAGGTTTCTTCTCTATCAGACTCCGTGAAAAAATCTGTTACCTCTCATGACTCTAAAATTCCTCGTCTGTACGGACTCCTAAAGATTCACAAACCAGAATTACCCCTTCGAACTATTGTCAGCACTATTGGTTCTCCAACATATTCTCTAGCAAAATATCTAGCTTCCTTATTAAAACCCATTACAGGAAAAACTGATAGTCTCATACTTAATTCCTTTCACTTCATTGAACAACTAAAAAGCATTACAATGGATACACAAAATATTCTAGTTAGTTTCGACGTAGAATCCCTCTTTACCAAAGTTCCTATTCCTGAAACTCTCGACATTATTTCAGATATATTAAAGTCCGAGAATCCGGAACCAAACGTTCTCACCTTAATTGAAAAATGCTTGTCGGGAACATATTTTTCTTATAACGGTCAAATTTTTGAACAAACGTCGGGAACAGCTATGGGTTCTTCTCTATCAAAAGTCATCG